CTTTTTTGCAGCTAAAACAGCAATCGCTTCTACTACCATGCTGACCTACTTAAGCCCTGACCCGGAAGCAACACTAATCCTGTGTACAGATGAATCACAGGCAGCAGTAGGTGCAGTACTACAACAGCGAGTTAATAACGAGGTCTAACCACTTACCTTCTTTTCAAAGAAGCTAGAACCAACCCAAACTCGATATAGCACTTTTGGTAGAGAACTACTGGCTATTTATCTAGCTGTTAAACATTTTAACCATTTACTGCAAGGCAGGGACTTTGTGATACTTACTGATCACAAACCTTTAACCTATGCCTTTAACGCGAAAAGTGACCGTTATTCCCCTAGAGAAATGCGACAATTGGATTATATTTCCCAATTTTCGACCAACATACAGTTTATAAAATGTGAGTCAAATGTCGTCGCGGATACTTTGTCAAGTTTCAATGTCGATGCAATTTCCTTCACCAAAGGAATCGATTTATTAGACATGGCACGTTTGCAGACAGATGATCCTGACCTTGATGCCTGTAAACAAAGTTCGAGCTTGTCCTTAAAAAGTGTTCCTATACCGCATTCTGACTCTACTATCATTTGTGATACTTCGACTGTAACACACAGACCATTTGTGCCAATAGTGTACAGAAAAAGTTTTTGATTGTCTTCACTCACTATCTCATCCAGGGATTCGTGCTACTGTGAAACTGATTGCCGAAAGATTTGTTTGGCCAAAGATGAATGCAAATATTAAAAAATGGACCAGAAATTGTGTACAATGCCAGCGCAGCAAAATTCACAGACATACAATTACAACACCATTAAAATTCAGTCTACCGCACCATCGTTTCCAACATGCTCATGTTGATTTAGTTGGTCCATTAGCCCCATCTAACGGATTTACTTACATTTTTACTGCACTGGACCATTTTACCAGATGGCCAATTCATACCCGATAAAAGATATCTCCACGGAAAATGAATTTACACGCATTTTGAGAATCCATCACATCACTACAACAGCATACCATCCAGCAGCAAATGAACTAGTGGAACGATTCCACAGACAACTAAAAAGCTCATTGATGGTACAACCTGATGTTTCTAGATGGACTGAATATCTACCTATTATTTTACTAAGCATACGTTCCACAATTAAAGAAGACCTACAATGTACTCCTGCACAGCTCGTCTATGGAACTAATTTAACCTTACCGGGTCAACTAGTGACGCATAATGGCAAACCCGTATGTACGGATCCCACTTCTTTTTGCGAAAGACTAATGAGCCATATGAATAACATTAAGCCTGTTGCACCTCGACCAGTTGTCTTAAAAGAGCAAGTTAGCAAGCATCTAGATACATGTAAATTTGTATTTGTTCGTGTTGACTCCGTAAGACGTCCTCAACAACATCCTTATGAAGGACCATATGAAGTAGTTGAGAGGCAAGCAAAATATTTCACAATCAATAAGAACGGAAAAAAGAAACAGTTTCAATCGACAGGATAAAACCTGCCTTCGTCGAGTCCGAAACACATGACAGCCGAAAGCCGTCTAAAGACAGCGGCAATCACACAACGCAGCTTCCAGTGTTTCCAAATAATTCTTCATCAACTCCTACGAAATCAATACTTCGTAAAACAGACGGTTCTAAGGTTACAGCTCCCACAAATTTAAATCCTAGTTCCGACACTCTACCTTCTACGAAAACAACTCGTTCAGGAAGACATGTACATTTTCCTAAACGTTATGTTGAATTAATTACTTAATCTTTATTCTGTCATTACCTGTAATGTGATTAAATATCTATATTAGCAGAGTTACTAATAACATTTTTTTATGCAACCATTTTTTTTCTAAAAGAATACTTGTGTACTACTAATATTGATAAATTCATTATGTTTTTCTCTACATGTGTATGCGTTTCATATGATGTTTATTATTAATTGTGCAAATATATTCAATTTCGTTGGACTCGTTCAGTTTATCACTAATTGTTTACACAATTTATACATGTATCTACACTTTTCGGTGAACTCTCAATTTAATTACCGTTATTACTAATGATGCTATTATTATTATTCTTGTTAAACTTTTTATATACATTAAAGTCTTTTTACTACAAGAGAAACATTTTGTTCTTAAATATGTATACACGTATGATTTTTTTTAAAATAACATTTGTTTACCCTTTTCGTTGTGTAATTTTTTCCTCTCTCCAAAGCATTTAGAGTTTTACGTCGGGCATACTTCCACCGACGCATACCCTAGGGGGGGAGTTATATGATGACATATATTCAGTGATTTTTGTAACAACAAAAATAAAAACCACATTTTTTCTCTAATTTGTCACACTTTATTTGTAACCACGTTTTTATTCAATATCTGTTGTTTTGCTGTATCACTTTTTAAAAAGACGATGATAATTGTTTCGATGAAGGATATACAATTCTACTACCGCGTTGTTTAAAATATAGAACACTATATACGCCGTTTGTTCTTCTGTTTTATTGGCCACCGTTTTGAATGAAGACTATAATAATATTATAACATCATTATAGGCCTTCCGACTCAACGTTGGATTGATATGATGCTGTTAACGGAATTTTCAAGTATCAAGAATTGTTCATATAATGACAATTAGATTGATGGAAAAGTGATATGAAAATACTTTACAGATGGAAATCATGACAATTAATTTTCTACTTGAAGAACTTAGATAAGGTTCTATTAGTGTGTACTTTTTAATTCTAATCGTGGATGGAAAGATGTAGAATCCTTCACATGAACAAGGAGGCTCAGATGCAGACGTAAAGGCGAGGATCGGCAAAGCAAGTGTCGCATTCCTACAATTGAAGAACATATGGAACTCAAAACAAATTTCAACAAATATCAAAGTAAGAATCTTCAATACGAACGTCAAGGCAGTTCTACTGTATGGGGCTGAAACTTGGAGAACTACAACAACCACAATCAAGAAAGTACAAGTATTTATAAATAACTGTCTACGCAAGATACTCAACATATATTGACCGGATATCATCAGCAATAGCCTTCTGTGGGAGAGAACAAACCAACTTCCAGCTGAAGAAGAAATTAGGAAAAGACGATGGAAATGGATAGGACAAACATTACGCAAATCATCAAACATATTCAGTCAGTTTGTAATACTACTGTTCATCTTGCTGCAACTAATATTAAGTCTTGTAATTCTGATTCTATTAAGTTTAGTGTTCATAATGATCATTTATCTTTATCGACGATTTCAAAAGACAGTGTAGAGTCATATAGCAATTCATAGTTAAACGAAACTCAGAATCCATGCGAGACAACAGTTTCTAATCAATCAATTTGTCAGATTTCTCATGTTATTGTACCAGATATGGTTCTCTCTAATGATTCACATATTTCTTATGAAAGTCCTTACAAATCCGAGGAAATTATGTTGAATGGACTTAGTCATGATCGAAAACCTGATGTGGTTTTGATAGATGCTGATTTTTCTAATGATCCTTTACTCTGCAATGACATTCTTAATAAATTCGAGGAAACTATTTCGGAAGAATCAAATCTTGATGTCATATCAAATATTATTTGTCCTCATAATTCATTTGTTGTTTGTGGGAAACTTGATCAGTGCGAAGCACGAGTAATAAGTGAGCTCGATTTTGATAACAATTCGGATGATTTCCTATCAACTGCTGTTTATCCTTATCACAAAGTCACTTCTAGTGTTTACTCCAGCCAATGTGAGAAATATATTTTCATATCCGAGACCCGTATTCAAGACTCTGGTGAAGTACTACAAATTCTCTCTCTATCAGTCACAAAGAACATTACTCGCTAATTCAACACACAAATCGATGTGAAGCCACCTCAAGTGAGCTCGGTGACGGCTGATTCTCATCGGTCAAAGGAGGAAAGACTGAATTCAAAGAGGTCTGTCCCAAATAAAACCCATGAAAGGAAGTTCCATGTGTCTCCCGTCCTTCAAATGGTGACTGATAGGAAACGTCTGGGAAGCGCAATCGCAATGTTCGATCGGTTTCTAGCAGGAAGCACAACCTGGACATGGATTACAGCAATATTACTTCACAACAATTAGTAAAGTTTCCAAATAATTTTGGTTAAAAATACTTTATATTGCGAAGCCGTTCAGAAGTGTACTAATGTTGAAAACCCATCAGTGCATAGAACCAAAGGGATTTAGAAAACAAGCATAAATCGAAGTACGAAAGCTTTTTAAGAACCAATAAATGTATCGAGTATCACAAATTTAAACAGCAAACGTTATCGATTAGAGAAGACGTTGACCCCAACAATCAAGTTGCGGATTTCAGATTATTTATGTGATAAGTAAACAAACTGGTGAAAGGAATATTTCAGAAATACTCTCAGTAAAGTACAGTTTGGGATGTATTCGCGTCTGAATACATGCAGCACGTATCATGAAATTTTGAAAATTTCGATTGCTTTACACGAAAATCACAGCTTGTAGTTCAGTTTTCACCAAACAACCTAAGTTACCTGCTTTCAACTAATAAGAAAATGAGCCGAACACACAAACAGTCTGTTGACTGTGCTTTTGATGTCCTTGCCAAGTAACCATGATTGTGTATAGAAGTAAAATTATCAAGTACGACGTCACTAATGGTCAGTTGTGACTTGTAGTGAATAGTATTAGTATGGAAGCACCAGGATTTCACTAGAATTTGGTAGTGTTTTCTAGAGAGTTCTGGTGAATAGGGCGTAATATGTGTTGACACAGAGCGAACATATGTGAACGTAGACTAGACAGGGCGAGAGAAATCTAGAACTTTCGAGAAAATGTCCTTCAATGACCAATCAGATTTGGACTTAATTACATCGTAGAAATATTAGTGTTCTGATTGGTTGTTACCCGTTTAGAGGTCATTGAATAATTTCTCTCACCCACCACTATATAAGTAAGTTAAACAGTCGAGCATTCAACGCATATTGTTGTTCTATTTCTGTTATCGTGTTGAATATGTCTGGTGGGCAACATCATCAAGCAGTTAGTATTCCTGTGAATCGTGAGCAACGGTCATTTGAGAGGCAGAGACGTGACCTGTTAACTGGCCTGGAACACGGAGGTGGTACTCATCGTGGCAACCTAATCGCACCGTACACGGAAGACTGGCCGAGTACTGTGGACAGCTGGATCAACTCCTCGTGGAGGAGATGGGATGAAGACATGCGACGTTTGAGACGTGGAATGTTCGCGCTATTAGTGAGTTTTGCTATTCAGTATTCAGGTGACCATTAATGCATATGATTTCTTGAGATAATGTTTATCATTTGTGTATGTTAGGAGTGCAATAATGCATTGTGTGGACAGATTTCGCATAAAATTCGAGGAGAGATTTGATGAGCTCGGTATGTTCTTTGAATTTCAGCCGTTGGACAACTTCACCCACGGTATTTGGGAGAATCCATTCGCTTTAATGCACCAAATGGATCGTCATATCCAGGATATCCGAGAGAGAATGGGCTCAATGGATGTTCCGTCGACCGGTTCAGTGAGTGACTTTTTGAAGGACGCCTACGAAATAGGTGAGGATGGCAAGGTGAGTCCGTGCTGACGAGCAGGTAGGTTGTGTTTATTGTTTTGTGCAGTTGGTTTGAACATGGCCGTTGATTGACGAGTGTTATTATGGTTGTTGTTTATTGCGTAGGTACATTTCAAGGTACGATTCGACGCACAAGGTTTCGCTCCTCAGGACATCAATGTGACGTCGAGTGAGAACCGTGTGACGGTACACGCGAAGAAGGAGACGACGACCGATGGTGGGAAGTGTAGTCGGGAGTTCTGTCGTATGGTGCAGCTGCCGAAGAGTATTGATGATAGTCAACTGAAATGTCGCATGACAGATGTAAGTTGTTGAGTTGACGACTGTGGTTGGTGGTGGTGGTGGTGGTGGTGGTTTTGTGTGTGTTGTATTTCCAGTTGTTTGCATTCCGAATCATGTTAGAATAGTTGGAAGTCTCGTTTCATCTTGTTTTGTGCGTTTGTTTGTCTATCCGTTTCAGGATGGTGTTTTGATGTTGGAGGCTCCAGTGAAGGTTGATCAGAACCAGTCGTTGACGCTGAACGAGTCTGGTCAGGTGGGTGTTCGACCGAAATCGGACAATCAGAATAAGGCAGTTCCTGCGTCTCAAGCACTTGTTGCAAAAGGTGAGAGGAGTTGTGATTGATCTGGTGGGTGTGTTATTCTCGTTTGTGTGTGTTGCATTTTCCTAACATTGTATTTTTCCCTATCCATTTCAGGTGTTCATGGTCTATCGTATGTGGATGATGGTTCAGGTGGCAAGCGATTGCATGTTGAGGTTCCAGTGGACCCAGTGTACAAGCCTGAAGACTTGTGTGTGAATGTTGATTCGAATCGTGTTGTGGTTAGTGGACGTCATCATAAGCAGAAGAGTGGTCAATATGGAAAGTCAAGTTCATTTGCAGAGTTCAGTCAGTCGTATGCGATTCCCGAGACAGTTGATCCGTTATCTGTTTCTGCTCAGGTAGTTGGCAATACATTGGTATTGGAGGCGCCATTGGAGAAGCAACATGCAATTACTCACTAGAAGAGAATATGTTTTACTAAATTAATCGTTGATTAATGTTAAAATATTGATGTGATTTTTCTGAATAAATATTTTTGAATTGCATTCGATCCCATGTTATTTATTTCGTGATCAGCGTATTCAGTTGACTTGTTGAACGTTTACTTTCTGGTGTGCGGTTGGTGGGACGATAGTTTGGTTTTGATTTATATGTTGTTCCTGCGTTCAGATTCTGTGAAATTGATTTTTCATTGGGATTTTCGTGACTGCATGCTTGTTAATGTTGTGAATGGAACGTGGACGTGGAGAAATAGAAGACGGTTGATGAGTGTGTAGGGTATCACTTCACGACTAAATATTATTATTGCTCTTTGAGTAGACTTCTCACTAGGACTATTCGTAAGTACCACTTCTCCCCAATTGTAATAAACCAATAATTACTGAAGCGTAATACGAATTTAGAAATGGGCCTCATTAATAAACGCGAATACGTTGTCACGATCTATAAAATCCAGGCCAAAGATCCTAAATGGGTTTATTGTATGATAGCTTATGTAATCAAGCAGGATTGTTTTTCGATTTTCAACCTATATTAACATCAATCTCATTAACTTTCGAGACAACTCACATCTTGCTTCTGGTTGTGACTCGTACTAACGGCCTATTAATTTTTGTCATTTTGAAATTTGTATGGAATGTATGGATATTTATCCCTTTTTATTTATATGGGAAGTTATGTCACTTGGATTTTCCTAATAACAACTTATCTACGGTTAATTTTGCCTTATATAACCGGTGATTCATTCACTTGGATTCACTATTAGTTGAATTCATGTGTCTTGAGAATGGTCAAATCAAATTCAACGTTTTAATTTTTTAATGTGTATTCTAATTAGGTTTGTTGTTTTGGTTATCTTTATTTAACTCTATGGTACTTTTTAGTGTTAAAACCTCAATCTACTTCAACTCACCTTGTAGAATAATGTGGTATGTCAACTGAAGATATAATGTGCATTTAATCATCTGGATTTTAAAAGGTTATAGTGCGGAATGCTTTTCGCTCATTGGGGTTCCCAACTTTTATTCGCTTACCATACTAGTCATACAGATTGTGGGTTTCTATGAGTTTTAAATTTTTATTTTCAATAAATAGCCTGTAATTCAATCTTTCTCATATTCTGTCGAGTCATCTAAGGTAGACTTTACTAAACTATGCAATACTATCAGTTTAAACAACTTTCTTCAAGTCTACCATATTAAATTGCATTGATTGCGATTTACAGAAATTCATTTGGATCTTCAGGGAATCTGTACAATTTCATGTTTACCTGGATTTAAGTGTCTAGTCATCAAGTTATTTTTGATATATGATCAATAGATGATTACTTTGTCTAGACTTATCCAATCTTAAACTCGAAACGCGTGTTCATGTCTTGTGCTCACACAGAAATATACTTCTTTCTGTTACTGACCGTCTTTTTCTATATCGAGAATGTTAGATTCTCGTAGGCCTTTCATTTCAAGATATTCAAGCTTGAATAATCATCTTTTACATCCAAATAAAATCATGATGGTGTAATGAACTGCGATCACGTTATATTTAAAGCGCAATAATCCAACATGATTTAGATATGTTAGGATTTGTGTCCGTGAGTATAAAGGCAAATAAACGAATTTTATGTTAATATGATTGACAGTTTGTTTGGTACATAACAATATACACAAAAGATTGTTTTAAGTTGAACTCTTTGTTGATTGGATTTGAAAGGAATTGAACAACCTCATTCGTTCGCTTTTGTTTGCGCATAAATCCCAGTAAATTGTATCTGGATATTGTTATATTGTACCCAATCTCAAAACTACGTTAGTTCACTCTACGCTCATTGGTTACCTCCATCTGTAAACGATTTAAGAAAATGATAAATATACAAATTATTTTTGTGTGATCTTCGCGCGCTGTTTAGAAAGGATAGTGGTATTTTTCCTCACTGAGTAAATTATATTGTTTTGATCGTTTATTACGTAACAAAACCACTGTTTACACTTTAATTGAATTTATTTCACTTAAAGTATCCGCTTAGAGTATCGTTTCTGATTCCAAAGTAGTTTATCGTCGATACTTCTGAGTACTTTGTTTCTGTTGTATTTGTTAGCAGTTTTGGTCCAAACAATTTACAGTTCTCCACCCTTTTGGTCATAAATTACTTTTGTCTCTGGGCATTATTGCATCTAGTTTGTTTTTGAAAACCTCCGTTTGATAGCTGGACAGTGCAAGAAGATCATTCGCCAAAATATTGTAGTTTGGGTTGAAATGTTTAGCCTATATACCTTATTCTAGCTTTTGTACAGGCTAATCTATTCATTCTACTTGAGTCACTTTTTGACATTGTCAATTATTCACTTATCAACCTTGGCTGTTTTCATATCAGCGTATGTGTGTGTACACTTCTTATTCTATTCATCACATGTGTAGCTTATTTTTGTGTGACTATAATTATTGATTAACGCTTGAATGAAAGGTGTTGGCTCACATGCCTTCTCCACTGAGTGTCGTTTCGCTCTCTCTTTTTCACTGCGTCTCTCTGAGTATCTGTTCAGATCAATGATTGAACAAAATATATGTATTCGACTTATTTAATTCCATTATTCACTAACGCGATCTAAGTCGATAATTTTATACGAGGAATAACTATATGTGTGTGTGGTGTGGCAACTCGAACTGATGTACGTACGTACGAAGTTCTACGTTGTTACTGACTGACTGATATGTGTATCTCAATAGCACTCAGAAACGATCTTATTGGAGTCAGATGCCTGGCCACTAAAATATAATATGTTCATTTGTGCTCATCTAGTTCTACATGATTTAAATTGCACCATTTGGGGAATCATTAATTAGTACGTTGATTTGAATACTTCTGATTATCATAAATATAATATCTGGTATTGAATTATGAAATAATTGGCTACGGCTGTATTGAGCATGCATGTAATCATTTAATCACCAAAACTACCTACACTCAATAGTACATTTACAACAACCATTGGATACGATGACAGTTCACTGTCTGTTTGAAAGGTGAACATTTATGAATCTATTGATTACGTGGTCACATTCGGTTCTTAAACCAAATACTTTTACTCGTTAAAGCTACACGCTCTAATTTATTGATAATCAACATTAAAAGCTTTTAAATTCCACGTGCAAATACAAACTGTAACAAACCAAACTACTGACGGTCATCGCTACGCATCGTGGTAGTAAACGACGTCCCAGTAATTCAAAATCCTACAGCAACTATGAACTATAGCAAGAAACTTCATATAAAATTGATCAGCGTTTAGTACTAGTGTGAACATTGAAATTCTAAAATGAAGGAAATAACAGTTAATAGGAACTACTGTGAACATTGTAGACGCCTTATGAATGGAAAAACGTTTGGGAATTGAAAGACATTAGATACAGTAGAGTGGAGAACGGAACGTAAAAACATACATGATATACTATATACCATGGTTTATAGAAACGGCAGAAAGTATGCATTGATCTGAAAAGTTAACAAGATGTTTGGCGAAATTTCAACTGGGCATAATGAATGACTTCGAATTAAATATCACTGATGAATGTGTAACGTGGTGTCGAGTCCTAGTTGACTATGAATATGGGCGCAATTTTGGTCAATGTTTGTCCTGTGTGGCATATTCCACTCCTTCAATTCATGTAGATTTCGTAATTCTGGGTGCTTTAAATGTGGTGATATTGGACATATTCAGTCAGTTTGTAATACTACTGTTCATCTTGCTGCAACTAATATTAAGTCTTGTAATTCTGATTCTATTAAGTTTAGTGTTCATAATGATCATTTATCTTTATCGACGATTTCAAAAGACAGTGTAGAGTCATATAGCAATTCATAGTTAAACGAAACTCAGAATCCATGCGAGACAACAGTTTCTAATCAATCAATTTGTCAGATTTCTCATGTTATTGTACCAGATATGGTTCTCTCTAATGATTCACATATTTCTTATGAAAGTCCTTACAAATCCGAGGAAATTATGTTGAATGGACTTAGTCATGATCGAAAACCTGATGTGGTTTTGATAGATGCTGATTTTTCTAATGATCCTTTACTCTGCAATGACATTCTTAATAAATTCGAGGAAACTATTTCGGAAGAATCAAATCTTGATGTCATATCAAATATTATTTGTCCTCATAATTCATTTGTTGTTTGTGGGAAACTTGATCAGTGCGAAGCACGAGTAATAAGTGAGCTCGATTTTGATAACAATTCGGATGATTTCCTATCAACTGCTGTTTATCCTTATCACAAAGTCACTTCTAGTGTTTACTCTAGCCAATGTGAGAAATATATTTTCATATCCGAGACCCGTATTCAAGACTCTGGTGAAGTACTACAAATTCTCTCTCTATCAGTCACAAAGAACATTACTCGCTAATTCAACACACAAATCGATGTGAAGCCACCTCAAGTGAGCTCGGTGACGGCTGATTCTCATCGGTCAAAGGAGGAAAGACTGAATTCAAAGAGGTCTGTCCCAAATAAAACCCATGAAAGGAAGTTCCATGTGTCTCCCGTCCTTCAAATGGTGACTGACAGGAAACGTCTGGGAAGCGCAATCGCAATGTTCGATCGGTTTCTAGCAGGAAGCACAACCTGACTGCCTATGTCCATAGTGCGTTTGACGCGAATGTGGTTGCTACTCGCTACGCATCGTGGTAGTAAACGACGTCCCAGTAATTCAAAATCCTACAATTGGTGTCACCATCTTGAAAACCGACTTCGGTGGCTTGGACATGTTCTCCGAATGTCGTCCCAGAGAATTCCACGTCGCGCATTATTTGCCGACGCTGGGACTGATTGGAAAAAGCGGAGAGGTGGTCAGTGTATGACATGGTATTGTGGTATGAAATAAAGCTGCAAAGGGCTGACTTCTGTTGGTCTTTCACCACTCCCTTGCTGGGGTCCGAGAGATGGTGCAACACAGTGGCTAGA